ACTCCTGAATAAACTGATGTTTTGCTGCCAGCACCTCCCATTGACCATGCCCAGTTAGAAACCAGAGGGCAGGGATACTCAGCCCGTCAAGGTCAAGTTCCAAGATGCAGAGGGCTGAGAAGGATGGGGATTGGACAGAGTGCAAACAGACAAAAACCAGCATAAAACTTAGATTAGTCATATCTTCACGTTCTCTTGCACACAGTAGGTGACCAGGAACTGCTGACTTTCCAGGGCTGGTGAGCAGCCTCTGGCTGTTCTGAGTCCGGTGTCTCCCCAGGTGTCCGTGAGCAGGGTTTCTTAACAGTTTCACTACCAAGTCTTATGTTTACAAATGGAATCTTTTAAGCCAGAGCCAGTTTCTCCAGGTCAAAATGAAAATGAAGGGATCTGGGTGGCAGGGGGACCCGTGGACTAAGAATAAGGCTTTATCAGCAGATGCCAACTCTACAGAGCACAGGAGTAAGAACAAACATGTTGAAAATTAAATACAAAATGGGTAATTATGTAGTAATGAGACGAGGACATTACAAAGGGCGCTGTCATTTAAACCACCACATCTCAACATGGTAATGAACGGGAAAAACCCTCCAGCTTCGTAATTATAATCATAGTTGCCATAACAACTTAGTATCTCTCTCTGTGAGCATCTATCTCAAGACTATATTTTTAGCAACAACTGTGCCTGAGCATGTATTTTTCTTTATATAGCAGCTAATTTTTCAAATTACTGATCTTGAGAAAACAAAAAACCCCCACAATTCCATCTTCATTCTCTCTGAGTGTAAAAGTCTCAGGGATAATTAGGGAAATGAGCAGGTGTGAAGAGTCCGTTATGAAAAATGCTATAAAAGTATTGATGTCTTGACAACATTTGTTTCAACAGAATGTTCTCTGGACCTGTACACTCTCTTGTTCCTTGTCAAGCAGTTTAACATAAATCTTTGCCGTGCGACTCATAAATATTGGAAAAATTATTAGCTCTGTAAGGTGTTTGAGGATTATTTGACAAGTACAGATTTATGTTGTATAACAGAGATTGGCTTAATGGAATCCCGAGTCTCAGGAAAGAATGAAGGAGTAAATAAACATGGGCTTACCTTCCTTAACAGAAATGTCCATAACAGATTCTCAACTGAAGCAAACAATGGGTTGACTTTAAAGGACACCATTTTAAAAACTCAGAAAAACCAGGAGGGATTCTGAGCTGCCATTTTGGTTTCTAAGTTGTCTGCAGCTGCTAGACCCTGCTGGAAGGTTTGGTTTTACAGCATGGCAAACGTCCAGTAAAAGTTAGCACTTAACCAAGCTCCACTTACACTCTTGGGAGATGCCAACAGCCTTTTGTTAGGATCCCATACTTAAGCTAAGTAAGCAAATTATTAGGTTGAGACCAAAAAGATCTCACTTCAAAAAGAAGCACTCTTCGACAATGCTACAAAAAAAGCTTAGCCAAGATTAGGCATGGAATAAGAATTTATTGAGAAGTTTCTGTCTTTCTTATACTTTCTTGTTTCTGTGGAGGATGTAAAATTAGCAGGTTAGAATAATTGCTGTTTTATAAAGAGCTAATAAACACTGTGTATGGGGAAACGAAGAGGATGCCTTATTGTTTGGGGCCATGGGTGAACCAGGACGGCCAAGTGTGGGTGAGCAGGTGAACCTGAATCCTCTGTGGCAGGACTGTGTGGGATTGGTAAGCTCTCTGGTCCTCACCAGGACAGCAGCAGCATAAGTGAGTGTCTTAGGGAGCTTCTCCATAGCTTCTCCTTTGGGGTAGACAGCAAGTCAGAGAGGCCAGAGGCAAGGGGGTCTGCTGAGCGTGTGTTCCAACGACCTGGCTGGCAGCTCTGAACAATGGGAAAGTTGGAGGGATGGAGGAGAGGTGAGTTCAAGAACATGGTGGCGAGAAGCACTAGGAGTTCCTAAGCTGTCGGATGCAGTAGAAGGTAAAGCATAAGTGGGGCAAAGTCCCGATCTGGGGATGCTGAAGGGTGACCAGAGTCTATGGGCCAGATGGTGGCCAGGTTGATAAGCAGGGCGAGGCTTGGGAATGAAGGGTGGAAGTAAGCTTGGCCATCCTGTCTTTCTAAACTTCCTGAACGCTGCCTGTGCCCAGCCGATTTCCAGGTGAGCAGCCCCAGAAGGAGAGAATCGGAGGGAGATAAAAGCAGCTCCAGGAACCCAGCAGGAGGCTGCTAATGTGTCGGGAGAATTGGCAGTCGATGCAATCAATTCTTGTTCTCTTTGTTCTGCTTGCTTTAATTATGTGTCTATGTGTGGAAAACAAACAAGCCAGCCATCCCAGGGAGAGCAGTGATTAGTGGGATCTGTTTCCTGATTTTAGGGATGTGTCGAGGCTCACGTTAGAGCAGGGGCTTTCTCTGAACGTTACCCAGACACTGCAGAGTAGGTGTGTGTTATTTTATTTGGCTAAGAGGTGCCAGGGGAGTAAAATGTTTTTAGAACTTACGTGTTTGGGGTTACCAAGATTCATCCTGCCAGACTTCAATTATTGGATAAAGGTTAGTCTTGGCTGTAGTTTGCTATGTGTCCCCGGGTGAGTCTGGGCTTCAGTTTCCTCCTCTGTAAAATGGGAGAGAGAAGGTCAGTCTCAGGTTTTAACTGTGTCAGAATGATTGGAGGAGCTTCTTGGACACGCCCATGTTCAAGTCCACCTCTCAGAAGATTGGGGTGGGGTCTGGGCCCCTGTAAGGTTAGTCGGCTCTGGGGTCTCCGATGGAGGTGGCGCGCGGTGCCGCCCTGTCTGGAGGGGCTCTAGGCCCTTCTGGAGGATTCGAGATGATCCTCTTGGTTATGCCTCATGGAGCTAGCTGCAACTTCCGGGGGCCTCACCTCCTCCGGCTTTGCCACTGAAGCCCTGTTTTGTTGTTGGGGGGGCGTGGCTTCAGATAAAAGAGTCCCACGTGGGTGAGCCCTGGGGATATATCATGGGCGAAGGTGGGCAAGGATCCACAGGGGGTCATGAACCGGCCCCAGACCAGGCCTAAGTGGAGAGTGGAGAGAGGGGAAAAGGGCCGTTCTTCTCTGTCACTTTGGAGATCTCTGCTGGTTCTGGATTCCAGAATTTTCTGCAGGTGTGGAGGCTGTTGATAGTCAGGTCCAAGGCTTCCTGGCCCTTGAAGACAGGGCAGAGCCCTGCCTCAGTCTGTAGCCTCCTATTCTCACTCTGGCCATTCTCTTTGGTCTGCAGCCTGGAACCCCAGATCTGCACTAAAGGATGGCCTGCTTAAGCGGCCTGTGTGAAGACAATGAGAGAAGACGAGGTGGCGAATGGAGAGGCGGGTGGTAGAAGATGGCAGCTGGCCCGGCCCAAGCCCAGCCCACTGTGTGGGCTCAAAAGTGAGACTCCAGGGAAATGGGGAGGATGCCCCAACTCAGCTCAGTGATATCCTGGGATGTCAGGGCCCCAAGGACTGGAAAGGTGATAGCCCGACCTAGGGTCGAGGCTCAGTCTGTCCCTGGGGAAGGCAGAATGGCCCTCAAAGGCCTCCCCAGCCAATTGCTAGCTAGGTTATTTGGCAAAATGGATTGTACAGATGTGACTGAAGTTACCTGAACGGGATTATCCTGGATAATCTGGGTGGGCCCGATTTATCACTGGAGCCCTTCCTCCAACCCGAAGGAGGCAAGATGTGGCAGAAGGGGAAGTCAGAGAGCTTTGAAGCCGTGGGGCGGGGTGGGGAACGACACTCAGCATGCCAGCGCTGGCTCTGAGGTGTCAGGCCCACACACAAGGACCAGGAAGAAGTGGCTAGAACTCCTCATGGAAAGCGTAAGAAGGAATACAGACAGGCAGGAGGAGTCGAGAGTGGGGTGCTGACCGCCAGCAAGTTCTCAGGACCTGGGTGCTCCCACCTGGTGGAAGGGAACTGGGCCAGCACCCAGTGGGAGCCTGGAAGCAGGTTCTGCCCCGGAGGCTCCCCTGGGAAACGCAGCCTGCTGATTTTAGCCCAGTGACATGGCTCACACTTGTAACCCGCATTGCTGTTAAGGTAATGCATAGTGGTTGTTTTAAACCCCTTGGACTTCATTACAGCAGCAAGAGGAAACCAATGCAGGCTTCGTTTCCCCCAGTCCCAGCCAGAAGGACTGAAACAAAGTGGTCCAGGAGAGAAGGTGCTTTCTCCAAAGTGGCTGAGCTCCCGGCCCACTTAACTAGAAAACCCTCCCGCGGGAGTCTGCGCTTTGGATGTAACCGAACGACCTCGGTGACTCTTGAGTTCAGCAGCCCTAGGGTAACTGCGGCTTCTCTCTCTTGTACAACAGACCCCCGCCCCCCTCAGGGGCTGGGGCCCTCCAGGGTCACCAGGGCCCCGCCCTCACGGAAACTTTACTCCTTGGAGACCTGCGGATCCTGGGGCTCAGGAATTCCTTATTCAAAGTTCCTGAAATGGGATCACGGTCAAGTTGAGCGAAAGGTTTGCATGGTCAGTGGAGAACCGTGTCTGGTGCAGAACCAGGTGAGGAGGCAGGGTCGGAGCTGCGGTCAGGAGAGCTGGAAGCTAGGCTTCCTCCCGTAACTGGCTTTAGGACAAGGGCAATTCCTTTCTCCTGCTGGGTCTCACTCCTCCAACCTGGGAACCGGCTCGAGTTTCCTCCTGGATAGAAATTCCTTTGAGACTCTGCGGAAGCAAGCGCTTAGCCGGGCAGCTCACCGGCCGGCGTCGGGGCCAGACGAGGCTTGGAGACCCCTGATGGGATGAAGGGGCCTCAGACACCTGCCTCCAGGGCCGGCCTCCGCAGGGTCAGCGCCGGGAGGGAGGGCAGACGGAAGGGCGGGGCCGGGCCCTGCGCCCGCCCCCGGCCCGGCCCAGCCCAGCCCGACCCAGCCCAGCCCGGCGATCCCCCCCGGCGGGTCACACGCGCCGCCGGCCCGCCGCCTCCCGCACCCCGTGAGCCTAGCTGCGGTCCGGGCGCCCCTGCCCCGCGCCGCCGCCCGCGCCCGCCGCCCACCCAGAGCTACCGGCGCCCGTGACCCTGCCCGGGGCGCGGGGCGGAGCGGGCATGGCCCGCCGGGGGGCCGCCGCGCTGGCACTGGCCCTCTCGCTGGTGGCGGTGGTCCTGGCCGGGGTGGGTGCCCAGGGCGCAGCCCTCCAGGTCCCGGACTACTACGTGCAGGAGACCTGGAGCCGGGAGCCCTACTACGCGCGCCGGGAGCCGAAGCCCGAGCCCTTCTCGCCGCGGCTGCCCGCGGGGACCCGGGACGGGGAGCGGGAGCCGCGCCCGCCCGAGCCCAGGCCGCCCAAGAAGGCGACCAAGCTCAAGAAAGCTCCCAAGAGGGACAAGTTGGCCCCGGAGACGCCTCCACCAGGTAAGTAACTTTGTGCGCGGGGCGGCCCGAGGGGGCGCCCGTGACTGCGCGCCTCCCCCAGCGGCTGCCCGCTTGCCGGTGGGGACAGCTGGCTTCCAGGCCCGTGTGTGTCGGCGATGCCAGAGCCCGCGCACCCACCCATCGCGATCCTCCCCCCACTCCCCGGACTGAGTCGCGCATCCCTCTGGCCGCCTGGAGCTTCCCGGACCGACCCCGGACGGCATCCCCCTCGCAGGTGGAGGTGGAGCTGTGCGGTAGGGAAGCTGCCCGCGGAGCTGGTGGCCCAGGTCTGAAGTGGGCTGGGCAGAGGCTCTTTCCGCCGGACGCCCCCTCAGGTCTTACTACAGGGCGTTTTCTTGGGAGTGAATTTACAGTGTGGCCGAGTGAAGGGCCGGCTGGCTTTGGCACAACCGCCTTCTGGGGGAAAGCCCAGCAGTGGGTCTTTACCCAGCCAGCACCCCCTCTCAGCTCCCTCCCTCCGGCGTTCTGTGGGTCCCCGGAATCTCTGCCCAGTTGGGGCAGGATGGCAGAGCCTCTGCTGGGGAGGCTCCTGTGCCAGATGGAGGGAAAGCCCAGGGGCGCCTGGCAGCCTGCGCGGCCCGCCTTCCATCCATCCGCACACCCTTCTCCCAACCGCGTGTCTCTGCCAGCCCTGTCTTGGCAAATGACTTCCATTCCGTTTCACTCCCTGTGAAGGGGGGACTTTTTCTCTTAATTGTTTCAGATGTTCTTTGCTCAAATCGCAGGAGGCCCTGGTCCTAGTATTTCAGGGTTGGGGAGTGAGCAGGATTGTAGCCAAATTCTCTGGCCTTGTAATGGCCTTCCTTGAAAGGAGATACAATGCTGGTGGCACCATTACATGGCTCCTGGCATGGGAGGAATTGCTTTTGTTTGGTTAAACTCTTCAGAAAGTCAGCAGGAGGCAGCGGGAGAGGGGAGGAGGTGGGGACACAGATCTCTTGAACGTGTGGACCCATCTCAGCAGCCCCTCTGCACATGTGTGTGTGTGGGGGGAGGTGTCCTGCCATGCCCCAGTGTGTGAGCGACCCTGTCAATGGGCAGGCACTGCTCTGAGTTGTGTAACCCCCAACAGAACCATCCAGAGTTTCTAGTATCTTCTGGGGGAATTATGGGAATCAAGACGTGTAAAACCACAGTGGTTGAATAGCAGGAGAGCAGAGACAGTCACGTTTGTGGAACATCTGTTGAGACTCTGTTAGGAGCTTTATGTACAGTTGTCTGGGCTGATTCTTTCAGTGGCGCGGAGGGTTGGGTGTTTCTGTTTTACAGATGAGGGGCGGAAGGCACTGACAGTTGAAGTAACTTAGTGTCCCTTGCTGGCTTGGGAGATTGGAAAGCCCTTCTGTGCCTATTTTTAACTCAAGGCCTTTCTTGCTTGGTAGTTTGAATCAGATTTGCGTGTGTTTTTGGCTTTTGGTGTCTGCTGTGTGATTAGCGCGGTGCTGGTGGGGGTGGGTGGGAGACACGTATGCGGGGTTCTGGTACTTGCCAGGGGGAGGGCAGGGGCAGTGTGGAAGGAGCCCCAGGCTGAGTCTGAAGATCACATGTCATACCCGGGTCTGGGGGCTCAGCACTCAGCTTCCTGGGACTTGGTGTCTTCGTCGGCAAAGGACGCCTGCGCCTGTCACCTCTCTTTACTTGGTCACTTGCTTTAGAAGCTTTTCCAAAAAGCTTCTAGTGTGTCAGCTTGTCCATCTCTGAGCCCTTCATTCATTCGGCAGGTGGTTTCCAGGAACCTGTTCAATGCCAGGTGCTGGGTGAGGTCCTGGGGGTCGGGCACACAAGTCATCCCCTGCCCCTGTGGACCGCACAGAAGTGGGGGGGCTTTGGAAAAGGGATCACTGTTGTGCTGAGGGCCGCATCGCTAATCCCCAAACGGGAAAAGGTCCTTGGAAATTCCAGACACTCAGCTTTGAGGCTTCCTGGGAGAGCTGCCGCCCCAGGCCCACCACTCTTTTTAATGACTTGCATGAGTTTTTAACAGCCCACCAATGAAGACAAGCAAAGTGGGACATTTATCCCCACTCAAAAATCCTGTCCTTTTTTTTCCCCCCCATGTTTTGGGGTGTTTGGCCAATGGAACCTTCTACCCTAGACTCTTAAGTGGAGGAGACTGGTTTAACAATGACTCGATCAGGGGACTCGGTGGTGGTTGTGTTCAGGGACACCATGCTGAGAAGATCCATCTTGGCATCAGACTGTCTCCCAGGTGCCATCAGGTCGTGGGGAGGCATAGATGGAGGACGGAACCTTGTACAGCAGCCTGGGGTGTGTAGCGTGGGCTTCCGGACCTGGCTTTGCGGGGTGGGTGTGCGTGTGCCCGTGCATCAGACTCTGTAGGACTAACCTGGGAGTGAGGGCTTGGATTTAAAGATGGATAAGAAGGTAAATGTGTCTATAACTACTTTAAAATCAGTCACGTGCTTTGTCGCCATAGGCGGTAACATCTTTTTTGAATAGCTCTTGTCTTGCATCAAGGCAGGTTCTGGAAGGAGTGTTGTCTTAATCCCAGAGGAAGGTCTCCTTAAGGAAACTGGGACACTGGGGACTTGATCTTGGTGTGAATTGGGCCCTGACCTGTGGCTCTTCTTTAATGCCAACACATTAAAAATGTGCAGCAGATGGCCCATGTTGACATTCTCCTGGAGGTGGCTTGGGCAGCTGGGTCCTTGGGTTAGTTGAGACCATTGCATTTTTCCATGAAGGGCCGACAGATTCTTGGAGAAGTAGAGCTCTGATATGCTCAACAGAGTGGGATCTTTAAAGAAGTTGCTAATGCTTTCATTTTGAAATAATTATAAACTCACAGGCAATTGCAGACAGTACAGTGAGGTCCTGTGTACCCCAGTGATGATGCTTTCTGGAAACATAGGACAGGATTTCTGTACCTTGGCAGTATGGGCATTTTGTGCCAATTGTGTATGCTCTGGGGGTGGCAAGGAGGGGCTTGTCCTGTGCACTGTGGGATGTTTGGCAGCTTTCCTGGTCTCAAACCCCTGGCCTCCCGTAGCGGCCTCCTCTTAGTCAGGACAATCGAAAATGTCTCTAGATGTTGGCAGGTGTCCCTAGTGGGCTGAGGATCGCTGCTCTGTGCCATCGCAAGACAGGAAGTTGACATTGGTACAACACTATGAACTAGTTTACATACTAAACATTTCAGCAGTTTTTATATGCACGTGTGTGTGTGTTCTCTGTGGTTTTGTCACATGTACAGGTTCCTGGAACCACTCTTAGCATCGGGATACAGACCTGACGACCTCTTATTTATTTATTTAAATTAGAGAGAGAGGGAGAGAGCACTAGAGGGAGAACAAGCACGTGTTGGGGGCAGAGGGAGAGGGAGAAGCAGGCTCCCCGCTGGGCAGAGAGCCCGATGTGGGGCTCGATCCCAGGACCCTGGGAACATGACCTGAACCGAAGACAGATGCTTAACCGACGGAGCCACCAGGCGCCCCTGAGGATCTCTTGTTTTGAGGTTGAGTGGGACTCACTCTCGGACAGTTTCTGAGGTCCTCACTGTGAACATCAGTTAATCCCAGCATTTCAGAACTTGGAGGAAACCACGTGGTCATTGCACGCAAGTTGTTGTTCACTGCAGGGTTCCAACACTGGACCGCGCAGTCTGAGCAGTACTGATTGCTAGAGTGTTCTTCCTCGGTAGAGACCTGACTACCTGCTTTTTTCCAATTCCCTTATTTGGCTATTGCCGGCCAAATTCAGTAGTTTCTAGGTCTTTGCAGTTGGAATGCTTTCGGAGCCAGGTCCCCGCTTCCATTAGCCCAGCGTGGGGAACAGGATGGGGAGTGCATTTTTGGCATGCGGGTGGATGTGGGGTGTACTCACCTTTGTATGTCATCCCCAAATTGACGAGCTCGGTTTGTGGCCATGTTCTTGGTAGAAAATAAAATGGAACAGAGAGGGGAACCATAATTAATATAAATCATTTGTCTTTTCCCCCCAAGGGGTAGTAAGAAACAAACAGTCCCATGACCGACACTCTGAGTAGGTGATCTGAAGACTTTTTTCTTCCTCCTATTCCTTTTGGGTCTTGGGTTACTTTCGGTTTCCTGCTTGTTTGTTTGTTTGTTGCTTTCTTCCAGGACGGGCAAGAATGCACCCCTGTTTTGGGTATGGGCACGCCCACGTCACACCCGCCGGCCTGGTCCACGGTCTCGAGCCCGTGGAATTTGCAGAGTGGGCGGCGAGCCGTGTTTGTTTGGAAGTCTGTGCCCAGAAGCAGCAAGTTTGCGTTTTGTACTGTGTTGTGCCCCAGCCGCTGGGTGAAATAACCCAAGACTTGTTATTGGAGCATATGTGGTTGTGAACAAAGCCCTTTCTGTTGTGAGCTGCTGGCCAGTTGCGGGAAGGGGCCTCACTTTCGAGCTTTGGCCGGTCACTCTTCAGAGTGTCTTGTTGCGCGTGGCCTTCGGAGGGAAGCGTCTTCTCTCGGGCCCAGCTGGAGCGTGAAGATCTGGGGAATGTGCTTGTCAGGACTTTGCTGTGTATTTTACAAGCGGTCCCGGTGCCATCAGCACACGTGAACAAACAGCAAGAACTTTACATCAGGATATTATACGCTCGCTTGAAGAGTTAAATCCAAAGTGTTTGTCCAGATAAACTCCCTACAGAGCCCTGGGGGAAAGGACATTTAATTAAAAAAAGTTGTTTGAGGGGTACCTGCGGGGCTTAGTAGGTGAAGCATCTGCTTTTTGGCTCAGGTCATGATCCTGGGGTCCTGGGATGGAGCCCTGGCATCCGGCTCCCTGCTCAGCGGGGAGTCTGCTTCTCCTTCTGCTTCTTTCCCTGCTTGTGCTCACACTCTCTCTTTCTCTTTCAAATAAATAAATAAAATCTTAAAAAAAAAAAAAAAGGTTGCTTGATGTGCATTGGCAAGCAGCTTTCTAAGACACTGCCTCTCTTTCCAAGACGCTTTCCAAAGTCAACTATTCATGATGGCAGTCCCTGGTCTGTGCCCGTAG